ACAGCGCCGAGGAACTGGAACAAAAATGGAAATCCCACAGTTCCTTTTATTCCAAGTTTGGCCCCCGGTCTACTCTTGCACGTTAGACCACAATTCAGACCCCCCTCACCTCCCAAAAAAGAACACAGGAGGCCTTTTGGGGCCCAATTTCGTTGAACACCTACGAGAAAGTTTTGATTTCTGCGTTTCCGCACTTCCCCTTTATACGATTCCGAGGCTTGCGCAGGGCCTCCAAGGGAGTCCCTGGACGCAAGACGCGACCAACATGATATTACATGAGTTAGCATATCAAGCCTAGCTAGAACTTGAGCGCGCGCGAAGCGCGCGTGATGGTTCTAGTATATATATACATACATACATAGATGTCCTTTGCCTGTCCGATCTAGGTCGCGACCTCTTTTTGATTATGCGGCCCGCCATGGGGAATCATAGAAACAAGAGCTCGACTGACGTGCAATCAATGCGAGGTACGTGAAACAGACATGTTCAAGTACGCTCGGGAATATACAGGCTCGGATGAACCGCATAAAGGCATTTAACCCTGAGCCCCGCGTCTACGCGCGGGCTCGGATGAGCCACGTGGGACCCAAGTAGAAGATCATCCGAAGGCCCCGGGAGCGCGCCCATGGGGCCCCCAACGGAACCTAAGGGCCCCGCCTGAGGTTTCCGTTCGGCGTCCTCTTGGGGCCCCCCATGGGACCGGCTCGGGCCCCTGTCGGAGCCTTCTTGGGCCTCTCTTGGGCTCAACTCAAGACTTCTTAGTGGATCAGAGGACGGAGAAGATGGGCGCGATCGTCTAGGGCTGACAAAGGAAGCCGAAGGAAAAACCAGCAGAAGCCGGCCCAAAGCCTGAGACAACTCGGGAACACAGAAAGCTCAGGGTTGGTTCGGGCTGTGACGAGGAACGATGAGCACGCCAAAGGCATTCTTTGCTGGCCCTCCACTTCTGCCCCGCCTCCACTACTATCGCTGCCATTGCCATCGCCATGACGAGGCATCACCATCAACGTCATCGCAACGTGTTTGGTGTTTGGGGGTTCGGATTTTGGGTTTGGGGGTTGGGGTTTGGTTTTCGGGTTTGGTGTTTGGGGGTTGGTGTTTAGTGTTTGGTGTTTGGTGTTTGGTGCTTGGGGTTCGTTGTTCGGTGTTTGGCTTGGGGTTTTGATATTTGTTTGGCTGTGGTGCAGTGCTCTACATGTACCTTGTCAACAGGAGTCCTACATGTTGCGATCAGTCCGTGGCCAATGGTTGCAATCCGTCCGAAATGGTTCGTGAACGGGCCGAAGTGGTGGCGATCGGCCTTATTCCTAACAGTGAAGCTGGCGGGATCTGGCGGGCTCCCATCCCTGGCACGTTCGCGTCGGCCGCAGAGATATTCATTATTTGTGTCAAGAAGGTTGGGCGCCCAAGGAAGGGATGGTTTGGGCAGGTCGCCGAACGCGCTGCTGTGATAGGAGAGCGCATTTCTTATGAGACAGGCTGGTGGGCCGGCGTGAGCCGGCATTGCCTGTCTTAGGTACGTCTCCGCGCCTTTCGGCGCACTGGCTTGCGAGAGAGTGGTTGGACAGTGGAAGCTGGGCCTGCTCCCCCGCCCACTCCTCTCGCCGCGGCGCGGGCCGTGAATTCACGATCGACGCGAAGCGACCCCAGCACGCCTCACAACAGTGCCAGCTCGGACCGTGTCGCGCGGCCCGGTCTGCGCGGTTGCCCGCGCGGGCAGCGGGTAAGCGCTCGCGGCCGAGACGGCCGCGGGCGCGGCCGCCACTCGCAAGGGCGCTCCGTCCAAGTTCCCAGCCGATGTCCACCGCCTCCTGGGCGCAGCGGTCGGCCTCTCGGCCGACTTCGGCACGATCTGGGGCCAACCGCTCTGCGAGCAGCGCCGGCGCCGAGAGGTTGCGCCCGCGCGCACGTGCGCACGTCGCGGCGCCGTCCGCCGCCCCGGGATCGCCCCGACCGCCGCCCGCCCTCGGGTGCCCGGAGGCCCCCCGCCCGTAAGGTTCTCGAGGCTGCATCTGGCGCTCGGCAGGGTCATCTTGGCGACACCAACAAGAAACGGTCGTCTGCGCCAGCATTAGAACGTCAGCTGGGGCCAGTGATTTTTTTGGGGGCGACCAAAGATATGTCTTGGGGTCCCAAAACAATATGTGTTTGGTCCCCAAAAAATCTTTGGTCCCACGTGAGGTCTCGCGTGAGCGCCCTCGTCTCCAATGTGGCGTGCCGCGCGGGCGGCCCACGCAAGCCGCGGCGTAAGGTCGCTACGCCACCTCGCGCAAGACCTGTTTCTGATCGTCGCTCGTTCGGTGCCCGAGCCAGCAGGCCCCCAGGCGCCAGGACGCTGCATTGCCTCACGATGGGGGCGTTCGTTGAGGAGTGTGCCCAGGAGGCGTCAGGGACCCTGGAGGCTCCCTTGTCTGATGAGGGCGGCGGTGATGTCCACGGTCAAGCCTCGATTGGTGTTCCACCAGCTCCCAGCCCCTGCTTTCATGTTATGCGAGGGTTCCTTTTTTCCGATGCCCTCGCCGTAACCGTTTTGGCTCCAGGGGCTCCCGCGCGGGAGACCTGCGGGGCGGGGCGCCAGCGCTGCTTCGGTGCCGCGCGCGCCCGCGCGGAGAGAGCCATGGCCCCCGAGCCAAGCGGTGATGGGTCAGGTGCTGCGGGGGGGGGCAGCAGGGTCTGCTTCAGCGGTGTCGAGATCTTGGCGCCCATGGTGCGGGCATCCACGCTGGCACTCCGGCTGGAGTGCCTCAGGTATGGCGCCGATCTCGTGTTCGGGGAGGAGATCATCGACAAGAAGTTGATTGGCGCTGCGCGAGTGGAGAACTCCGCGTTCGGCACAGTAGATTTCGTTTCTCCTCGAGAGAAGGTCCTCATCTTCGCCACAAGCAAGGAAGAACGCTCGCGCGTCTTCTTCCAGATGGGCACCGCCGATGCAGCATTGGCGACGCAGGCAGCCATGCTGGTGGCGCGCGACGTGAGGGGCATCGACGTGAACATGGGCTGCCCCAAGTCCTTCAGCGTCAAGGGCGGCATGGGCGCGGCCCTGCTTAGCACGCCCGAGGTGGCCTCGGACATCCTCAGAGCCTTGCGTCGCAACCTGCCGGAGAGCTGCGCCCTCACCTGCAAGATCCGGATGCTGGAGACGACGGCGAAAACCCGAGACTTCATGCAGCTGTGCGAGAAGAGCGGTGCCGAGGCCGTGACAGTCCACTGCCGCACGCGCGACGAGCGCCCCGCCGAGCCCGCGCATTGGGATGAGATCATGCGCCTCTGGGATGCAGTGAAGGTGCCCGTGATCTGCAATGGCGATTTTTTCACGCGGCGGCAGATCGACGAGTTCTGGAAGTTTTGCCACGGCGCTGGTGCTGCTGACGGAGCGGCTGCCGGAGAGAAGGCCGGGCCCTCCGGTATCATGATAGCGAGGGGGGCATTGTGGAACCCCTCCATTTTCTGCAGGGACGCCTCGGTGGTGCCGTCGTTCGAGGATATGGTGCGGAACTACGTTCGGGCTGCTGTGCGCGCCAACAGCACGTATCAGAATTGCAAATGGGTGCTCTCACAGATGTTAGCAGGAGGTGTTGGCGTCACAGCGCCGAACGAGTTCGTCGGTGTTCCCACCAAGGCTTTCAACAGACAGCTGAGCACCATGAAGAGCATGGGTGCGATCTGTGAAAAGCTCGGGATACCACATGATGCCGCATCGTTCCCACAGCAGGCGCACATGACCACCTACTACCGTGGCTGGGAGCCCCTGGACGCTCAGGCCGCTGCCGCAGCTGCGGGCGGCACCCTCCCGCAGAAGCGACCTGGTGACCAGCACAGAGAGGAGATCGAGGATGTCGCCCCGGAGCTGAGAGGTGATCAGGGGCAACGTTTGGGGGGACGAAGTTTCTGGTTCGGTGTTCGATGTGTTTGGGCGTTTTCGTCGGATCTCGTCATTTTTTCAGCCTGGGGATGCCTTCTGCGACTCATCCTCGCCCAGAGCGTTCTGGGGGTACCCAGATCGTCCAGAACGGCCGCCGGATTATGACCCGAAAACCATCAGGAGATAGGCTCAGGGGGGAACGCATCGACCCCCGATCGCCCATTCATCGCCGACAGGGGCGCGATAGCCCGTCCCGCCCGAGGACGTGAGGATTCGCAATCGGGGGCACTTCGCCTTTAGAGTGAATTGCCAATGTGTCGCCGACATTAGCTCGATGTTTGCCCCCCAGAGCCGGTCCCCCCCTAACGTTCTCCCTCAGGCGAGGCGGACGATGACGCTGCTAGGAAGCGCGCGCGCACAGAAGCTTGAGGCCCTGGCGCACGCCACCAGCGAGAAAGCAAAGGAACCTGCACCGTGTAAGCCAGGGCTTTGCCAGACCCAGCTGGGGGAACTTGACAACGGAGGATGTTTGGACCCACGGCTGCCATGTTCTCGGTTGGGCCACAGTCTTGGCTCACCGAAGTCCCTGCTCACGCCTGCCTGCCCTCTTAGAGGACCGCTCCTCGGGGCTGGGGCGCGGGCCGCACCGTACCGCAGCACCACACCCGCTCACGGGGCCCCGACACAGAGAGAGCTACTGCCTGACATCCAAGGGGACGCGACATCCCGATGCTTCTTCCGAGGCTCGCGATGGGCCTCCGTCGCGCGGCCGGCCGCTCTCAGCCGAAGAGGGGCCGCCCACCCTCAGCCACGGGTGCCTGCCAGCACTCCGGCCACGTACCACTCCCGACTCGCACGCGTATAATCTCTGCAAGCAGCGCGAGATCGTCTGCTCAGCCAGGCGCCTGGGCATCTGGAATCGTCTTTTTCCGCTACGTTGGTCGCACAGCTCTTGACCCTATTCCCCGGGCCAGATTTTCGTCGCCAGCAGTTCGGTCGATGGTCCCGTGGCCGGGATGCGACTCCAGGACGCCGAAGTCGAGACCAATTCCCGCAGTGTTGTTTTCGTGGCAATTGGAGGTTCGTTGGCCGCGCGCACACATTGGGTGGCATCAGCCAGTGTGGCTTTTCCTTTTAAAAAGGCGGGGAGCTTCGGGGAGCTTCTTTGAAGGCAGGGCCTTCTTAGAAGCGCCTGGATTATTCTAAGAAGGCTTGTCAGCAGCCGGGAGGGCATCTAAGAAGCCACATGCTTTCTTAGTTGGGGCTCAAGAGACGGGGGTCAATGCAAACAGGGGTCAGTCAGAGCGCTGGATCTTGCAGGATCCTGCAGGGCCAGGGGTGCACTGACCCAGCATTGGGCGCAGGATCTTCCAGGATCCAGCAGGATCCTGCAAGGCCTGACTGACCCGGGTCTGGATTGACCCGGGTCAGAAGATCCCCGACTTTCCCTCTTAGAAGGTCGCCCCCCTTGCGCCAACCAGTACCCACCGGTCGTTGAAAGTAGGTATTTTTGGATTCCCAGATCCCAATCTACTTTAAGCGCCTTCCTATTTCAAGAATCTATATTTTTTGTTTTTTTTGGGGGCGGGCGCAAACCTAATCTACTTCTAGGGTTTGGTTGTCACTTCCCTGGGCGACGCTGGTCGCTCGGCCCCTCGGCTGGCCCCATTCCTTGGTTTTGATTGTTTTGTTTGTTTTCGCTTGTCCGTCGGCTGCACTGGTCGCCCCAGTGTCGCCCGCCGCCCCGCGGTCGCTCGGCCTGGCCCCACTATTTGGTTTTGTTTGTTTTTGTTTGTTTTCGCTTGCCCGTCGGCTGCACTGGTCGCCCCAGGCTCGCCCACCTCCCCGCGGTCGCTCGGCCCCTCGGCTTGCCCCATGCAATGGTTTTGTTTTTTTTTGTTTTGTTTTTTTTCGCTTGTCCGTCGGCTGCACTGGTCGCCCCGGGCTCGCCCACCTCCCCGCGGTCGCTCGCCCCCTCAGTTTGCCCCATTCCTTGGTTTTGTTTGTTTCTGTTTGTTTTCGCTTGTCCGTCGGCTGCACTGGTCGCCTCAGGCTCGCCCGCCGCCCCGCGGTCACTCGGCCCCTCGGCTGGCCCCATTCCTTGATTTTGTTTGTTTTTGTTTTTTTTCGCTTCTCCGTCGGCTGCACTGGTCGCCCCAGGCTCGCCCGCCGCCCCGCGGTCGCTCGGCCCCTCGGCTGGCCCCATGCACTGGTTTTGTTTGTTTTTGTTTGTTTTCGCTTGTCCTTCGGCTGTACTGGTTGCCACAGGTTCGCCCGCCGCGTCTCGGTCGCTCGGCCCCTCGGCTGGCTCATTTTTTTGTTTTGTTTGCTTTTGCTTGTTTTCGCTTGTCCGTCGGCTGCACTGGTCGCCTCAGGCTCGCCCGCCGCCCCGCGGTCGCTCGGCCCTTCGGCTGGCCCCATTCCTTGGTTTTGTTTGTTTCTGTTTGTGTTCGCTTGTCCGTCGGCTGCACTGGTCGCCCCAGGCTCGCCCGCCGCCTTTCGGTCGCTCGCCCCCTCGGCTGGCCCCATTCCTTGGTTTTGTTTGTTTTTTGCTTGTTTTCGCTTGCCCGTCGGCTGCAATGGTCGCCCCGGGCTCGCCCGCCGCACAGCGGTCGCTCTGCCTTTCGGCTGGCCTCATTCCTTTGTTTTGTTTGTGGTTGATTGTTTTCGTTTGTCCGTCGGCTGCACTGGTCGCCACAGGCTCGCCCGCCGCCTTTCGGTCGCTCGACCCCTCGGCTGGCCCAATTCTTTGGTTTTGTTTGTTTTTGTTTGTTTTGGTTTGTCCGTCGGCTGCACTGGTCGCCTCAGGCTCGCCCGCCGCCCTGCGGTCGCTCGGCCTCTCGGCTGGTCGATTTCTGTGTGTTTGTTCGTTTCGTTTGTTTTCGCTTGTCCGTCGGCTGCACTGGTCGCCCCAGGCTCGCCCGCCGCCCCGCGGTCGCTCGGCCCCTCGGCGGGCCCCATTCATGGTTTTGTTTGTTGTTGTTTGTTTTCGCTTGTCCGTCGGCTGCGCTGGTCGCTCCAGGCTCGCCCGCCGCCCCGCGGTCGCTCGGCCTCTCGGCTGGCCCCATTATTTGGTTTGGTTTGTTTTTGTTTGTTTTCGCTTGTCCGTCAGCTGCACTGGTCGCCCCAGGCTCGCCCGCCGCCCCGCGGTCGTTCGGCCCCTCGGCTGGCGCAATTCGTTGGGTTTGTTTGTTTTTGTTTGTTTTCGCCTGTCCGTCGGCTGCAATGGTCGCCCCAGGCTCGCCCGCCGCCCCGCGGTCGCTCGGCCCCTCGGCTGGCCAGATTCGCTGGTTTTCTTTGTTTTTGTTGGTTTTCGCTTGTCCGTCGGCTGCACTGGTCGCCCTGCGCACGCCCGCCGCCTTTCGGTCGCTCGGCACCCCGGCTGGCCCCAGTCCTTGGTTTCGTTTGGTTTCTGTTTGTTTTCGCTTGTCCGTCGGCTGCACTGGTCGCCTCAGGCTCGCCCGCCGCCTTTCGGTCGCGCTGCCCTGCCCCTCGGCTGGCCAAATGCTTAGTTTTGTTTGTTTTTGTTTGTTTTCGCTTGTCCGTCGGCTGCGCTGGTCGCTCCAGGCTCGCCCGCGGCTTTTCGGTCGCTCGGCCCCTCGGCTGGCTCATTTCCGTGGTGTTGTTTGTTTTGGTTTGTTTTCGTTTGTCCGTCGGTTGTACTTGTGGCCCCAGGCTCGCCCGCCGCGTTTCGGTCGCTCTGCCCCTCGGCTGGCCGAATTCAATTGTTTTCTTTGTTTTGTTTGTTTTCGCTTGTCCGTCGGCTGCACTGGTCGCCCCAGCCTCTCCCGCCGCTTTCCGGTCGCTCGGCCCCTCGGATCGCCAAATTCATTGGGTTTGTTTGTTTTTGTTTGTTTTCGCTTGTCCGTCGGCTGCACTGGTCGCCCCAGGCTCGCCCGCCGCCTTTCGGTCGCCCGGCCCCTCGGCTGGCCCCATTCCCTGGCTTTCTTTGTTTCTGTTTGTTTCGCTTGTAGGGAATGGGGCCAGCCGAGGGCTCCGAGCGACCGAAAGGCGGCGGGCGTGCGCAGGGCGACCAGTGCAGCCGACGGACAAGCGAAAACAAACAAAAACAAACAAAACCGATGCATTTGGCCAGCCGAGGGGCCGAGCGACCGAACGGCGGCGGGCGGGCCTGGGGCGACCAGTGCAGCCGACGGACAAGCGAAAACAAACAAAAACAAACAAAACCAATGAATTGGGCCAGCCGAGGGGCCGAGCGACCGAACGGCGGCGGGCGGGCCCGGGGCGACCAGTGCAGCCGATGGACAACCGAAAACAAACAAAAACAAACAAAACCAATGCATTTGGCCAGCCGAGGGGCCGAGCGACCGAAAGGCGGCGGGCGAGCCTGAGGCGACCAGTGCAGCCGACGGACAAGCGAAAACAAACAGAAACAAAGAAAGACAGGGAATGGGGCCAGCCGTGGGGCCGAGCGATCGAAAGGCGGCGGGCGTGCGCAGGGCGACCAGTGCAGCCGACGGACAAGAAAAACAAACAAAACCAGTGAATTTGGCCAGCCGAGGGGCCGAGCGACCGAACGGCGGCGGGCGGGCCTGGAGCGACCAGCGCAGCCGACGGGCAAGCGAAAACAAACAAAAACAAACAAAACCGATGAATTGGGCCAGCCGAGGGGCCGAGCGACCGCGGGGCGGCGGGCGAGCCTGAGGCGACCAGTGCAGCCGACGGACAAGCGAAAACAAACAGAAACAAAGAAAGCCAGGGAATGGGGCCAGCCGGGGGGCCGAGCGACCGAAAGGCGGCGGGCGTGCGCAGGGCGACCAGCGCAGCCGACGGACAAGCGAAAACAAACAAAACACACACAAAACCAGTGAATTCAACCAGCCGAGGGGCCGAGCGACCGAAAGGCGGCGGGCGGACCTGGGGCGACCAGTGCAGCCGACGGACAAGCGAAAACAAACAAAAACAAACAAAACCAGTGCAGTTGGCCAGCCGGGGGGCCGAGCGACCGCGGGGCGGCGGGCGAGCTTGGGGCGACCAGTGCAGCCGACGGACAAGCGAAAACACACAGAAACAGAGAAAGCCAGGGAATGGGGCCAGCCGAGGGGCAGAGCGACCGAAATGCGGCGGGCGCGCGCAGGGCGACCAGTGCAGCCGACGGACAAGCGAAAACAAACAAAAGCAAACAAAACCAATGCATTGGGCCAGCCGGGGGGCCGAGCGACCGAACGGCGGCGGGCGGGCCTGAGGCGACCAGTGCAGCCGACGGACAAGCGAAAACAAACAAAAACAAACAAAACCAATGCATTTGGCCAGCCGAGGGGCCGAGCGACCGCGGGGCGGCGGGCGAGCTTGAGGTGGCCAGCGCAGCCGACGGACAAGCGAAAACAAACAGAAACAAAGAAAGCCAGGGAATGGGGCCAGCCGAGGGGCCGAGCGACCGAAAGGCGGCGGGCGTGCGCAGGGCGACCAGTGTAGCCGACGGACAAGCGAAAACAAACAAAATCAAACAAAACCAGTGCATTTGGCCAGCCGAGGGGCCGAGCGACCGAACGGCTGCGGGCGGGCCTGGGGCGGCCAGTGCAGCCGACGGACAAGCGAAAACAAACAAAAACAAACAAAACCGATGCATTTGGCCAGCCGAGGGGCCGAGCGACCGCGGAGCGGCGGGCGAGCCTGAGGCGGCCAGTGCAGCCGACGGACAAGCGAAAACAAACAGAAACAAAGAAAGCAAGGGAATGGTGCCAGCCGAGGGGCAGAGCGACCGAAATGCGGCGGGCGTGCGCAGGGCGACCAGTGCTGCCGACGGACAAGCGAAAACAAACAAAAACAAACAAAACCAGTGAGTTGGGCCGGCCGATGGGGCCGAGCGACCGAACGGCGGCGGCGGGCCCGGGGCGACCAGTGCAGCCGACGGACAAGCGAAAACAAACAAAAACAAACACAACCGATGCTTTTGGCCAGCCGAGGGGCCGAGCGACCGCGGGGCGGCGGCGAGCATGAGGCGACCAGTGCAGCGACGGACAGCGAAAACAACAAAGGAAACAAAGAAAACAGGGAATGTGGCATCCGAGGGGCCGAAGCGACGAAAGGCGGCGGGCCCGTGCGCAGGCGACCGGTGCAGCCGAACGACAAGCCCCCCCCTGAAACAAACAAACAACAACAAACAGTGAATTGGGC